GAGGAGCGGAGAGTACAGTTTGGGTGATATTTGGAGACTAGATTGCTGATGTAATTTGGGGCAGAGTTATAAATGGCTTTATATGTTATTGTTAATGTTTTGAATTTTATCTGTTGGGCAATGGGAAGCCAGTGGAGGGATTGGCAGAGAGGGGTGGCTGATACAGAACGGTTAGTAAGGTGGATGAGTCTGGCAGCAGCATTCATGATAGACTGAAGAGAGGATAGCCTGCGATGAGGTAGGCCAATGAGGAGGGAGTTACAATAGTCAAGGCGAGAGATAACCAGGGAGTGAATAAGTTGCTTAGTGGTTTCTGAGGTTAAGAACGGGCGTATCTTGGAGATGTTGTGGAGGTGAAGTCTACAAGATTTGGACAGCGATTGGATTTGGGGCTGAAAGGACAAATGGGAGTCAAGGGTTACACCTAGCACCCTGGCATGAGGGGAGGGACTGATGATTGTGTTATTGATTTTGATGGAGAAGTCAGGGGAGGGGGAACGCGCGGGGGGGAATACTAAGAGCTCAGTTTTGGAAAGATTGAGTTTGAGGAAGTGGAGTGACATCCGGTCTGATATGTTGCTCAGTAGGTGTGTGATTTGGGCAGAGACCGAGGGGGTGAGGTGGGGGGTTGAGAGATAGATTTGTGTGTCGTCGGCATAGAGGTGGTAGTTGAAGCCGTGAGAGTGTATGAGTTGGCCAAGGGAGGAGGTGTAGATGGAGAAGAGAAGGGGCCCAATGACAGAGCCTTGAGGGACCCCAACAGAGAGGGGGAGTGAGGGGGAGGTGGTAGCATTATAGGTAACGCTGAAGGAGCGTTGTGACAGGTAGGATGAGAGCCAGGAGAGAGCAGAATCTCTGAGGCCAAGGGAGTGTAGTTTTTTGAGGAGGGGGGTGGTCGACTGTGTCAAAGGCCGCAGAGAGGTCAATGAGTAGGAGCACTGAATAGTGGCCATTAGCTTTGGCGGTTAGCAGGTCGTTGGAGAGTTTGAGTATGGCGGTTTCGGTGGAGTGTAGGGGACGGAAGCCGGACTGTAGGGGATCGAGGAGGTGGTTGTCATTAAGGTGAGAGCATAGGCGGGTGTAGACGAGGCGCTCGAGGAGGGAGGGCTTTTTAAGTATGGGGGTGATGTGTGCATGTTTCAGAGGGGAGGGGAAAATGCCTGAGGAGAGGGAGAGATTGAAGATGTGGGTGAGGGAGCGTAGGATGGAGGGGGAGGGAGGTCGTAGGAGTCGTGAGGGGATAGGGTCGAGGGGGCAGGTGGTGAGGCGGGCATCAGAGAGGATCTTGGAGACTTCCTCGATGGTAGTAAGGTCAAAGGTGTGGAGTGTTGGGGGAGCTTCAGTATGAGGAATGTAGGGTGGGGTGGAAGTGGAGGTCAAATTTATATAGCACTGACAGTTTGCTCAGCACTTTACAATATAGCGGGAGACAATACAGCAACAATACAGTTCAATACAAGAGGGTTAGGAGGGCCCTGCTCCTTGGAGCCTACAATCTAAGAGGTATGTGAAAGATCAGGAAGTACTAGGCCACTAGTACTTGCCAGTTCACCAAAAGGTAGCGTGGCACTAGTACTGGCACTCTGCTGCATATGAGAGCCATCAAAATTTACCGGCAAGTGCTAACAGAGATCAGGCCTGATTCTGCCAACACTGCGGTTTTGTGTGCAATGTATCAAGTGAGAGTGACTTACTGACACTGCACTTGCTGGGGGAGAAGGGGGGTAAGCGTAGAGGCTAAATGCAGGTGCTGGCAGGTGCCGGGGCTGATCCCGCTAATGCTGCATTTTGGGGGACGCTATACTAATGTGAACGCTGGTATATATCTGATCAAACATATTGATCCGTTCAGACACTTTACTAGCAATGGAGGTTTATTGTGTATGAGCGTCTTCCTGGCAATCGAGGGGTTAAATGTGATGACTGGTGTACTGACGGGCTATCTGGGAGGAACGTGAAAACCACAGGAGCACGAATCAATTATATATATATGTGATTTTGCGCACCTGTGCCACCCTGTAGTAGTATTTCTGCTATAGGGCGGTCAGGAAGTGATTACATAAGCGATTTGTGTTATGGAGCTGCGTCATTTTAACTGACAATTTCGCGGTCATACAACGCTACACAAACATGACATTTACATCCTTTTTTTCCCATGAATTGGGCTTTCTTTCAGTGGTATTTGATCGCATGTGCGTTTTTTTATTTTTTAGCTATAAAAAAAAACCCGACAATTTTGAGAAAAAAACAATATTTTGGACTTTTTGCTATAAAACACGTCCAGTAAAAAAATGTAAAAATCAAATTTCGTCATAAATTTCAGCCAAAATGTATTCTGCGACATGTTTTTGCTAAAAAAAAAATACCAATACGTGTAAATTAATTGGTTTATGTGAAAGTTATAGGATTTACAAATGGTGGTATAGATACTGGATTTTGTTTTTTCTGTATACTAATAATAGCGGTGATCAGTGACTTATGGTGGCGATCAGCGACTTATGGCGGGACTGCGGCGGACATTCTGACACTGATGGGAACTGACACCAATACAGTGATCAGTGTGAAAAAAACCCACTGATACTGTACTAATGGCACTGGGGTGGAGGGTGTGTTTTTTAGGGAGTGTTTTACTAGTGGGCGGGGGGGTGTACTTCACTGTTGCACACGCTTTCCGGAACAGTGGGCTGGTAATTGACAGGGAGCAGATCTGCATTGAAAAAAATGCAGCTGTGCTCTGTGTCACTGTTTGCTGGCAATCGGCGGGTAATCACTGGCCGGTACCCAGTGATTGACACCTGCAGCCGTGATCGGCGCTGCGGGCAGGGCTGTCGGGCGCAAGCATGTAAACAAGGATCACGTTTATATACGTGATCCTGCCTACAGAGTCCGCTTTGCCGCAGTATATGTACTGCGGGCGGTACCCTAGTGGTTAATGATTGGAGACATAATAACCACCAGATGAATCCTGTGGGGCGGCGGGTTGGAGGACATTAAGCCGCAGGAAAATGGCCTGACATGTTTTGTGACAATGATCACTTCTTAAGAGCGCATCAAAACTGCATAAAAAAACCCCTCAACAATTGCATTTTTGGTGTGATTCCTTTGAAGTCTATTACACGCAAAATGCAATCTGATGCAGGAAACAGAAGTCCCTAACCCTTTCCAAAAAATGCACCGGCTCAAAACGCACAGATGTGAGCTACATCCATAGGAAATCATGTGAAATGGACTGTAGTATGATTCTGCAGACTGGAAAATGCACTGAAATCTACATTTCAGTGTGAACCTAGGGTGAACTAGCTTCAATATCTTGTTTGTTTCACCGTTATTCTAATTCTCCCTCAAAATGGTCTATGAATGTTAAAGGTATAGTATGGTCAAGGGTAAAGTAGGCCATGGCCGAGTTGAAAAACCAAATATTCTGTCGCTCAAAAAACAAAAATAGCTCATATGATTGACATCAATTGTTTTTCTACAACAAAATCCAGCATTTTGGATCAGACACTTTAGTTTGCAGCACGGAAATGGCATGTCGCAGCTGGCAAACTAGTGATGCAAAAAACGAATGAACAAGAATTTTTGTTCAGTTTTCGACTCGTCTATGGCTGGCTTATGTAGAAAATTAAACAGAGTTAGCATACAATGAGTAAGGCTGGTGGCATTAACAAACAGCCTTTCACTTGGTTATAAAGCATAAATCCTCCATAGAGTGCAGTGATTTTGGGGGGGGGGGGGGGGGGCTAATTAAGTCAGAAACATGACTGCATCTCTAGAAATCCAGAGGGGAAACTCCCCATTTTGTTCTCCATTCTTGTAGGCTAAGAATAAACATATACTTCATCATATGATATAACTGTAGTGCATCCTCTGTTTCACAGTGATGGAATGCACTCCCTGGTGACCCTGGTATAAATGGAGGGTTAGCAGCCAGAGACATCAAAGGCAAGTTTGTTACAATTTGTTAGTTTGCCATACCGCTTTGTTTAATAGAATCATTTACAGTTGTGTTCAAAATAATAGCAGTCAGACATCACTAACCTGATCAATCACTGTTTTTGGTAGAAATTATATTTCTACATGGCAAATAATTTACTAGCAGGTGTAGTAGAGTAATAGAAATCCAACAGACCCAACAGTCATGACATGCATGCTGCTGATTCTGTGTAATTGAATCACTAATTGAAAGGGGCATGTTCAAAATAATAGCAGTGTGGAGTTCTATTAGTGAGGTCATTCATTCTTTGAAAAACAGGTGGCAATTATTGCCCCTATTTAAGGAAGGAAGGCAGCAAATGTTGTACATGCTGGTTACAGTGCATTTCTCTCTGAAACTCTGAGGAAAATGGGTTGTTCCAGACATTGTTCAGAAGAACAGTGGACCTTGATTAAAAAGTTGATTGGAGAGGGGAAAATATATAAAGAAGTGCAGAAAATGATAGGCTGCTCAGCTAAAATGATCGCAAATGCTTTAAAATGGCAACCAAAACCTGAAAGACGTGGAAGAAAGCAAAAAACTGCCATTCGAATGGATAGAAGAATAGCCAAAATGGCAAGGACTCAGCCAACAATCAGCTCCAGGAAGATCAAAGAAGGTGTAAAGTTCCCTCTGAGTACTGTTACAATTAGAAGACGCCTATGTGAAGCCAAGCTATCTGCAAGAAGCCCCCGCAAAGTCCCACTGTTGAAAAAAAGACGTGCTGAAGAGGTTACAATTTGCCAAAGAGGACATTGACTGGCCTAAAGAGAAATGGCGCAACATTTTGTGGACTGATGAAAGTAAGATTGTTCTTTTTGGGTCTAGTGGCCGGAGACAGTTTGTCAGACGACCCCCAAACACTGAATTCAAGCCACAGTACACTGTGAAGACAGTGAAGCATGTGTCAGGGCTCCCAGGTGTGACCAGAGGTGTGTGACTGATGCAGGGAAATGCAGACTTCAGATATGTGATAAACAATATAATTTATTAACACTAACCATACAAACATAAACGCAGTGCAATACTAAAACATAATACAGTGCAAACAAACCAAACCAACCACCCACAGATAACAGTACATACAAGCAAGCGTCGTCAGGCAGGCCGGGTCAATATCAATAGGGCAGGTAGGTACAGGGGGAGCAAGCGGAGATGGGTCGGGGTCACAGGCCAGGTTCAGCAGGTAGCTAGCAGCGTAGTACAGAGGGTCAGGCAGAGGGATGGTCAGGGTCACAAGCCAGGGATCAGAACAGGTAGCAAGCAGCGTGGTACAGAGGGTCAGGCAGAGGGATGGTCAGGAGCGAGCCGGGATCAGAGCAGGAGAAGTCAGCAGCGGTTCAGATCAGGCAGGGTCAGCAAAGGAACAGAAACAGGATACAGGACAGATACAGGGCCCAGGACAAACACAACACCAAGGCAGAGTCTGCAAGTCTGGCCATCCCTTAAATACACCAGTATCATCAGCTCCAGGTGTTAGCTGGCTGAAAGGTTGAGTCTCTGATTGCTGGGAGCACCCGCTGGCCAGCCCTGGTACTGCAGATCAAAAGGCAGGTGAGTCCCACCATTGCTGGCCAGTCCATTCCTGACAGCATGGTTGCACAAGCATCATGATATGGGGATGTTTCTCATACTACGGTGTTGGGCCTATTTATCGCATACCAGGGATCATGGATCAGTTTGAATACATCAGAATACTTGAAGAGGTCATGCTGCCTTATGCTGAAGAGGAAATGCCCTTGAAATGGGTGTTTCCAACAAGATAACGACCCCAAACACACCAGTAAACGTGCAACATCTTGGTTCCAGACCAACAAGATTGACGTTATGGAGTGGCCAGCCCAATCCCCGGATCTTAATCCAATAGAAAACTTGTGGGGTGACATCAAAAATGCAGTTTCTGAGGCAAAACCAAGAAATAGAGAAGAACTGTGGAATGTAGTCCAATCATCCTGGGCTGGAATACCTGATCACAGGTGCCAGAAGTTGGTTGACTCCATGCAACACAGATGTACAGCAGTTCTCAGAAACAGTGCTTATACAACTAAATATTCATTAAGTGATTCAAAGGAAAGCAAAATCTTCAAACATTTTTCAGTTTATATAGTGAATGTTTGAGTTTGTAAAGAAGAATACAAACACTGCTATTTTTTTGAACAGTCTAATATTCACTTTTCTTCAAATTTTTTAGAGGAACAACACAAATTTGATATATTTTTCTTCATGTTTTGATTTGGGAATAGACTGTGTATCTTGGAAGCAGAGTCAGGATCTTGGAAGCAGGGTTCCGGTTGACCTACGCTGCATCCAGGTGACCCCTTGGGTCAGCAGAACCTTTTTGTAAAGTCTGCATGCCGTGAGTGTTTCCCTAGGGTGCTTTGCCTAGGCGTGCATTTGCAAGCTTATTTGTCGGCAGCAAGCAGTGAGTAGTGCGCAGAAAAAGGTTATATTGAAATATCCAAGATGAGAAATTGGTGACTACTAAGAAACCATAAATATCCTGTCACAAACAGGTTAGGGACTCGCCACGGTCCTACAAAAAAGCCCTCTCTTTTTCTAAAGGGACTGGAGTAAATCCAGGCTGCACTCTGCCCTCAAGAACAGACACCAATGTCGACACCACACAGTCCTCCCACTGACCATGTATATCTGCATTTGAACTGTACTGTGAGTGTTTTCCCATAGTGGAGTGTGTGTCTCCTGCCTAGGGAATGCTTTTTGTAGTTTGGCATTTATCTCAATATAAGTTCCACGTTTTACTGCAACCGACTTTGTGTCTTTACTATCGCATGCATCACACTATGCACCTCCCCACACTCTCAGGGAGCTGCTGATAACCTGAGCTAGCTGCATCACAACCCCCCACACTCTCACTGCCCTGAGCTAGCTGCTCCAATCCCCTGCACAGCCCAGTGCTCCAGTGAGTGCTGGAGGGACAGAGCACAGATCAGTGACTGACATTCACCGCTCTCTACTCAAAGTGCCATTTCCCTTTCTAGGGTGACAACACTGACTCACTCTATTATAGAGATGTGCACGACAGAAAAATTTGTTTAGTTTCGGATTCATTTGTTAAGTAAATCATTTAGTTTTATCATGCTAGAATATTTTGTTTTCATAACATTTGTTACTTCAGGAGGGTATATATTTGTTGTTGCAAATCCATTTGTATTGTTGGAAATTCTGTTATTCTTTTATTATTTCAGAAGATTGGTGATATTCATTTTAATGTTAATTCATTATTTCAGGCGATTACTAATACACTCTGAGTCATCCTTGCTAGTTCAACCCACAAAGAGAAATGGAATGAGCTGATTTGATGATATTGACTGGAGTAACAAAAGTAATGACTGGAAAAGAATAGCGTTTTATGCAAATAAATGGTTTTACACTATGCTGGATTTCTTTGCCTTGCTGGGAACGTATTTGGAGAGGTTCTAAATTCCATTACTAAAGAAAGGGTCCCACCATTACTGCTGAGGAGGATCTGACGGTCTGTGGAGGAATAATAAGGCATCATTTGGCTCATTGGTCCTGAGGGGCCTGGGCAGGAAGGTGAGGGGGCACCCCTGTCACTGTGGATTGACACCCCGTTTGTTTGCACTTAGTGTGGAGCACATGCACAAAAGAGTCATCCAAGAGTCCGATATAGTGTGGACTTCACTGTATAGCATTTCTCACAGCACCGAGAGTGGACACAGAAAAACCCCATGATAGGGGCATCACAAATATTGCATGTTTTACGTATATGTGTATAAGTATTTTATAAGTTATAGCACTGCACTACTAATAGATATCTATATTACATTGTATTGTGTGCCTGGGTTGTGGCATTTCAAGTGCTAGCTGCTTAGCGATAGGGGATTTAATAGCGCAGGTGGTATATTATACATCCCCTAAACAGTGGAGTCCCAAGCCTAAATGAAATTGTTTTTGCTAGGCTACAGCCATTCTGAGCACCAATTATTGTTGTTTGGTTTTCCTTAAGCTCAGTTTTGTTGTTTTTCTCTGTCTGTTGCAGGGGGGTGTCGCTGTCAATAGTGGGAGATGATACCATAATTCTGTGTGTAATAAGCCTCTAATTCAGGGTTTCTCAACCAGGGTTCCTCCAGGGGTTCCTTGAGCAATGAGCAATTTTTGCCTCTCAGGAAAGTTCCCACTGACACCATTGATCTTTTTAGCAATCTGTAAGGGGGTAATTCTTCTTAATGACCACAAGTGTAAGGAGCATTCTTACCTTTGACTATCACACTAATGTATCATGAATTGTAGATAAAGTCATTTTTATCAGGGGTTTCCTGAGAACGGAAAGTCATGTCAAGGGTTCTTCTGCGTTGAAAAGGTTGAGAAAGACTGCTCTAACTATTCTCAACAACAATGTACACTGGAAGGCACTACATCTGTTATACATTTTTATTTGTCTCTGGCCAACTACTATGAGGTTTATTGCCAATGGTACATACTGTAGAAGGATTTAACTATTTGGGGTGACCTTGTAACACTATGTTCCTTCTATGTCTTTGCCTATGGAAGGTGCGGGTTGATGTTCTCTCCCTCCTGGTCCTTCTTTCTGGAGAGGTGATTGCTGAAAAAGGGGCCCTAGCCTGGGGCCTAGAAGTTCCTGCTGTCCTGCTAATACTAAGGCATTAGAGTCACATTTTATGTAATTACATTACTTCTGAAGGACTATAGGAAAGGACTAATCTTTATTTCTAAATATTTTTAGGGTGTATAAGAGGATTTAGCAATGTGAAATGCCTTATGGTAATTACAAGAGATATATACATCTGCTCTACTTCATGTAAGCTGCCTTTGTTTAGTTTTTTTACTATTATGTAAAAAAAATATTTCCCCAATTTAATCTGTTTGTATATTCAGGTTCTTTGGTCTGTTTTAATGGCCAAGTAAAAGCGAGACTGCAGGCACATTAGGTACTAATAAGCCAAAAAGATAAATATTTGGCTCAGAGATGCTCGGAACAAAAAAACCCACGGACAGCTGGCACCCCGATCATTTGTTACAATTAAGCTTTTTTGCTCCAGCCGCTTATTTCATTCCTCTGTAAATAACAATAGCGTGAAATGATATTTTTTTCTCTCATTTTTTTTACTTTGTATAGGAAATGTAGAATGGAAACAATTTTTTGCAGAATAAAAAATGACTTTGGGTTTCCCATTAGAAGACATGATTAGATTCTTACTTTCAATCTGAAAACTCCACATAATATACGCTGTTTGATCTGCTAACTAATACTAGTAAACAGCTGCTATTTAATGTCCTTTGGGAAGCTGAGGCAAACGGCTTTTGGCCTTGAAATATCAGGAATTAGGATGTGCAAAGTCCTTTAACCCATAAAAAAACAGACTTCTGTTTACCGTAGACAGGCTGCAAAAAAAAAAAAATGATAGTCAAAAAGCAAGCAGAAAAATTGAACAGCACATCAGAATTACCTCCTGCCTGTTAAAGTATCAGCCAACTGGTAGCAATAAACCAATTGTTTTCCTATTTGTTAAACAGTTTGATTACCTTATGAGGTCTTCAAACTGTGGTTTATTGATAACAGTCGGCTAATGGTTTAAAAGGCTAGAGGTAGTCCTATCAGGTAGTCTGATGAAGGGGAATTCTCATCTCTGAAACGTGTTTCTTGTGGCATATCCTGAAGGGACAGGGTTTGGATTGCTGATGTAGCCACTGTTGTGTGGCTGATCCTCTCTCCGACTCCAGAATAGCGTTCCATCCTCCAGGCGGTGGTATACTTTGTTGATGGGTAGGCTAATGATGGGGAATTCTCATTTCTCAACCCCCCACCTCACCCCCTCGGTCTCCGCCCGAATCACACACCTGCTGAGCGACATATCAGACTGGATGTCGCTCCACTTCCTTAAACTGAACCTCTCCAAAACCGAGTTTGTCTTCCCCCAGCCCAGCCCAGACACCACCCCCCATTGACTTCTCTGTCACATCCAACAACGTCACCATCAAACCCACCCGCAGGCCAGAGTACTTGGTGTCATTCTGGCTCCAACCTATCCTTCCAGCCCCAGTCAAATCTTTAACAAACTTGTGCAGACTCCACCTCTGCAATATCGCCAAAATCTGCACGTTCCTAACCCCAGAAACCACTAAACAGCTCATCCACTCCCTCATCATATCACGACTCGACTACTGCAACTCCCTCCTCACTGGCCTGCCTCGCCGCTGGCTATCCCTGCTTCAGTCCATCCTGAATACGGCTGCCAGACTCATTCACCTTTCCAACCGCTCCATCTCCGCCACCCCCCTCTGCCAATCCCTCCACTGGCTTCCGATTGCACAACGGATCAAATTCAAAATCCTAACGCTGACGTACAAAGCTGTCCACCATACTGCCCCGAACTACATCACTGACCTAATATCCAAGTACACCCAGCACGCTCCTCCTCACAAGACCTCCTTCTCTCTAGTTCCCTTACCTCCTCCTCCCATGCCCGCCTCCAGGACTTCTCCAGGGTGTCACCCATCCTCTGGAACTCCCTGCCCCAACCCATCAGATTATCACCTAGTCTCCTCTCCTTTAGGCGCACCCTGAAAACCCATCTCTTCAGGGAAGCCTACCCCACCCCCTGCTAACTTGCCGACCTCCTCCACTCTTTCTACCACTCCATCCCCCTCAGCTATTTCCTCCTGTGCCACCATCCCCTCCCTCCTAGATTGTAAGCTTGAAAGAGCAGGGCCCTCAATCCCCTCATGTTTTGCATTGTATTGGTATTGTTCTATCACATGTTCTGTCCCCCTTTGTAATGTACAGCGCTGAGCAAACTATTGGCACTTTATAAATACTGTATAATAATAATAATAATTCCTGAAATGCATTCCTAATGACCCATTGATGTATTCCAGATTGACAGTGAAATGACATGGGCCCTCTCTACCACATGGCATTCCATCTCCTAGACATGGGTGTGCTTTTCTGTTGGGTAGGCTAGTGAAGGGGAATTCTCATCTCTGAAATACATTTATCGCATCATGCTTACATATCCTGAAGGGGTAGGGTTTGAATTGCTGCTGTGGACACTGATGAGATAGTGTTCCATCTCCCCACCAGCGGTGACCTTTCCTTGCCTGTAATGGCAGAACATCTATATTGGGAAAGGTTTGTGCTTCCACCACTTCCAGGGTTTTTTCCTTTGTGGGTGTAGTTGACTTGTTTATTAAAAAGGTGTGTTTATTACTTACTGTACATACTATATATATATTTTAAAAAGGTGTGCTGCATGCAAACGTGTCAACAAGGAGCATGCTGATAGGATGAAAGAGCAGAGATAGCAGATACATAATCTCATTAGCCTGCTTCTGCTCTTTCACTGTCCAGTCAGCAAGCTGGTGGTGGAGAGAGTATCCAGCCCTTTTTGTTTACTGTAACCAGCATGATCCATCTAGCTGTGCTGTGTGGCAGATCTCTCTAAATCTCAGAACTGGATGGACAGAAATATAAATCTTTTGGCAGATACAACAGCTCCCTTAAAGGAGAAATGCAGCCAAAGCTTTTTTGGCTGTACTTCTCCTGTTGATCACAGGAGTGCAGGTCATTCTGCACTCCTGTGACCCGTTTTCAGCTTACAGTGGGCAGCGGACCTGCCACACAACACAGCTGAAACCCACTGTTGGCTGATGTCACTCAGCCAGTCCAGGCTGGAAAAAGATCCTGACTTTAAAGCCGGGATCCACCCCAGAGTCTGGAGCGGCGCCTGGCTCAGCCTCTTAGTGATCTGCTGAGAGCCTGAGCCAGCCGCTCCCTCTCCTTCCACAGCCCAGCACTCCAAGAAGTTTGTGGGGGGCAGAGCAGACAGCGGTGACTGACAGTCCTGCTCTTTGCTCAGAATGGCTGTGAGAACTCAGCGATCAGAGGTCATGTATTCCCTGAGTTCTCACCCTTAGAGCCGGCAGGAGACGTTCTGCTGCATCCACCTAGGTAACTATAACTGGGGGAAAAAAATCCTATACTTCTCTTTTAAATGCATTTCATCTATGTATTTAGCTTTTTGCCTTGAGTTCAAATTGAATTATAGCAGATTTATTTTTTATTTCTATATTAATATGTATTGTTGAAAATAATGTTGTTTACCTATCTCAATAGTTCAAGATGTAGCTTATAATCATAGCTAAATGTGAATATTCTTGCTCTCCCTTTCCTTTGTACTATGTTCAGATAGGGCCACCTGGTAATTGGGCCACTGAAGAAAGTCTGCTTTGTCTGCTCTCTGTATAGTAAATACTTATGGGGTTAATTAAAAAGCGGTGACTGACATTTACCAAACATTCACTGAAGGGAAATCCTCCTGGTGCATGTCTTTTAAATGACAGCGATTGTTTCATCGCCAGTGAATGTTTGGTAAAAGCCATATTTACTCTTTAAAAATATGCCTCTTAGTGGCCTGTGATACCAATGGCTTCATTCTGTGTTAGATTTGTATTGTAAACTACAACTAATATATAAATAGTGTTCGTTATTGTGTACATGCATGACTTGAAAGACATATGCAGTTAAAGCAGAAATCCCAGCCCAAGAACCCATTCTGGGTCAGAGGCTAACCAAGGGGTAAAAGAAAGATAAGGAAGACAGAAGCTGAATATTGGACCTTTAATGGAAATATCCCATGTCTTTCACCTATGTAAGACTGTGCCACTAATGTGTTTATAGGACTAGAAGTACCTTGTAGAGACATACACTATCTTGCCAAAAGTATTGGGCCGTCTGCCTTTACATGCACATGAACTTTAATTTCATCCCAGTCTTGGTCCATAGGGTTTAATATTGAGTTGGCCCACCCTTTGAAGCGATAACAGCTTCAACTCTTCTGGGAAGGCTGTCCACAAAATTTAGGAGGGTGTCGATGGGAATGTTTGACCTTTTTTCCAGAAGCGCATTTGTGAGGTCAGACACTGACACTGACAAGAAGGCCTGGCTTACAGTTTCTGCTCTAATTCATTCCAAAGATTTTCTGTCGGGTTGAGGTCAGGAATCTGTGTAGGCCAGTCAAGTTCCTCCACCCCAAACTCTCTCATCTATGCCTTTATGGACCTTGCTTTGTGCAATGGTGCGTAGACATGTTGGAACAGGAAGGGGCCATCCCCAAACTGTTCCTACGAAGTTGGGAGCATGAAATTGTCAAAAATGTCTTGGTATGCTGACACCTTAAGAGTTCTCTGCACTGAAACTAAGGGGCCAAGCCCAACCCCTGAAAAACAGCCCCACATAATCCCCCTCCTCCAAACTTTACACTTGGCACAATGCAGTCAGGCAAGTACCATTCTCCTGGCAACCACAAAACCCAGACATGTCCATTGGATTACCAGACAGAGAAGCATGATTGTTTACTCCAGAGAACACCTCTCCACTGCTCTAGAGTCCAGTGGCAGCGTGCTCTACATCACTGCATCTGACGCTTTGCATTGCACTTGGTGATGTAAGGCTTGGATGCAGCTGCTCGACCATGGAAACCCATTCCATGAAGATCTCTATGCACTGTTGTGCTAATCTGAAGGCCACATGAAGTTTGAAGGTATTTAACAGCGACTTCTGTGCACTGTGTGCTTCCTCATGTGCTGACCCCGCTCTGTCATTCTACCTGGCCTACCATTTTGTGGCTGAGTTTCTGTTGTTCCCAGTTGCTTCCTCATTGTTATAATACCACTAACAGTTGACCGTGGAATATTTAGTAGCAAGGAAATGTCACGGATGGATATATTGCACAGGTGGCAACCTATCACAGTACCACGCTTGAATTCACTGAGCTCCTGAGAGCGACCCATTCTTTCACAAATGTTTGTAGATGCAGTCTTCATGCCTAGGTGCTTGATTTTATACACCTGTGGCCATGGAGGTGATTGGAACACCTGAATCCAATGATATGGAGAGGTGTCCCAATACTTCTGGCAATATAGTGTATATTCCCCTACCAAAACTATGCTTATGTAGGTTTATTAGATTTTGAAAATCACATGACATGTGTGGCCATTTCTCTTTGAGACTTCAAGGGTGTGGGTGGAGCAGGCTGCCATCCCAGCCAGCTACTTTCTGAGATCCTACGCATGCTCATCTTACACATGCTCATTTGCATTGCCCAATCTAGCATTTCTTAATAGCACTCATGATGATTAACTGATATGACCTTCCTTTGTATTTGTACTGAGATTGGTGGCATGCATCGGCAAGCAACTGATTGGAAAGCAAAACTCTAGTGAAAGAGGAAATTTACTATATACAGTAAATGACAGTAATTACTGAAGAATCTGACCTGAAGAGGTCTGGGAACCTTTGTCCTGGAAGGCAAACGCTAGCTAGACCTTTCATGGTATGGACAGATTTTTGCATGTACCATGCAAAGTGTGCCATGATACTTCACCGATTGGTGGGCATGGTAGAAGGTGCGATAGACATAGTTCATTTTGATCCACTTTCTCATCTTTGATCATCAGTTTACTTTGTTACATGACACCTCAAAAGAAAAGTTGCAAAAGAAGTTTGGTGCCAAACGCTGTGATTGCAGGTCTGAACAGGGGGCACATAGCTATATAACATGCAGCATGTGTCACTAACTGGGGATCCTGCTGTGATTGATGTTTTAATGGGCAACCAGCTCAAAATTTCTCAGCTCACAATTTCTTATTAGTAACAACCCAGGGGCAAATGCCAAATCCTCCTCTGAATCTGACAATATGCTTATGCAGTATTCTAATAAATAGGTTGCTAGAAAGGTTAGGAAAATTTAGTTCTTTTTGGGTCCCCTATAAGCAGTTTGTGATTACTTTGGGCTGTTCTAGGCTTCCGTAGCTGCAGGTTTAACTGTTCCCCCTCCCTTTCAGAGGATTCTGTAATGTAATGTGTTGGATGAAACAAATCCACAGCCTGAATATTTATGTAGTCTCAGCCAATCCCTGGGGGAGGATGTTTAGTATGTGGCTGGGGAGTGCATAAGTAGTCTGGGACCTGAGGCAGTCCCGTCTCCTCCAGGAGGAGAAATACCCAGCCTGAAGGGCTGCTGCCCTTCTGGGCAGTTCAGCTTCAGTTCTACGTGTTCTGATTGAGGTCCTAGCTATGCTAAGAGTTGGGGCCCTATTCTCTTGAACCCTGCTGGAACTGATTAAGAGATTTCAGTGAGGATCTGGTCTGGAGAATTCACTAGAGAAATGTCTGGCTGATATTGGAAGGAGGTGTCCACGTATCCAGGGACATTGGGAGTACAGGCCTGTGTGTAGGATCCTAATGACTTTGTGCTGCTATTATCCCTTGTGCATCAGTGCTAGAACTTGGTTAAAGTGGGACATTTCCCATGGTATCTCATTTTACTCAGTCCTTTAGTTGCTACTGGATGGACAGTGCTAAGAAGCTTTGAGAAAGTTAAGAGTGTCCTCATGTAACGACATTATGCTGCTGGAGTATATCACAGTTTCCCTGCACTCTATCCAAGTTCATCTTACAATAAAGCATTACCCCCTAGACCAGTGAGGGCGAACCTTTTTGAGCCCGAGTGCCCAAAACTGCAACACAAAACCAACTTTTTTATTTCAAAGTGCCAACACTGCAATTAACCACTTGCCTACCGGGCACTTCTACCCCCTTCCTGCCTAGACCAATTTTCAGCTTTCAGTGCTGTTGCACTTGACAATGACAATTGTGCGGTCATGCAATACTCATTTTTTCACACAAATAGAGCCTTTTTTGGTGGTATTTAATCACCACTGGGTGTTTTATTTTTTTGCACTATAAATGAAAAAAGAGCAAAAAAATTAAAAACATAAAAGGTTTTCTTTGCTTCTATTATAAAAATTTTGCAAACAGGTAATATTTCTTCTTTGATGTGCGTTGGTGAGGCTGCACTAATGGGCAGCACTGATGGGCATTGATGAGGCGGCACAGATAGGTAGCACTGATGAGGCGGCACTGGTGGGCATTGATGAGGAGGCACTGATATGCAGCAATGATGGGCACTGATAAGCAGCACTGACTGATAGCACCAACTGGAGGCACTGACAGACGGCACTGCTGGGCATCATTGATGGGTGGCACTGATGGGCAGCACTGATGGGCAGCACTGATGGGCGACACTGATGGGCACTGACAGGTGGTACTGCTGGACAGCACTGACAGGTGGCACTGCTGGGCAGCACTGACAGGTGGCACTGCTGGGCAGCACTGACAGGCGGCACTGCTGGGGCAGCACTGATGGGTGACACTGCTGGGCAGCACTGATGGGTGACACTGCTGGGCACTGATGGATGACACTGCAAGCAGTTAATCTCATCTCTGGCAGTGTCGGTGTGGCTTCCAACCCAGCAGCTCATTCCCATCCACGCTGAGCACATCGCCCCTGGCCCCAGAGCAGTGTGGGAGCCTCTTCCTCTCTTCCACGCCCATCCCCAGCTACATCACCCCTGGTGCCAGATCCGCATAGGAGCCGTTTCCTCTCGTCCACACCCACCCTGGCCCCCAGAGACATGTGGGAGATGTAGTTTGATGGGGGTCCAGTGTGGACGAGATCTGGATGGCCGGTCAGTGTGGGTGGTCAGTGTGCGCTCATCTTCCTCTTCTTCCTGGCGTGCCCACTGAGATGGCTCTGCATGCCAGCTCTGGTACGCGTGCCATAGGTTCGCCATCACTGCCCTAGACTGTTCATTGATTCAGAAGTGACTGCAACTGTGTGCCTGGTTGCCGGTACACTAGCTTGGGAAAAGAACCTGGGACGAAATAGCAGGCCCTTTCAGGGGTGAGCGCTACATTTACAACATTCTTTATTATATCCCTTTCCTCTGATTACGTAAATCTGTGTTTGTGAACACTAGCTTATCAAGTAAACTCCCCACGACACTATATGCAGCCACAGGCATATATCTGTGGCTCAGGGGAAATGTAAAGAGATCAACGTTACTCCAACTTGTGATATGTGTTGCAGAGTTGGAGGTGCTTTTTAAAGGCTGACAGCACCACTTTTCTAAAGAGTGACAATTATGCTGAGATAAAATATTTTTCTATACACACATGCTGTTAGATTTATCAACAAGATTTCACTACAGTTATGCTTAGAAAGAAAATAAAAACCTCCAGTAAAAGGCATTTCTATATTTCCATCATGTCAGGTTCATTAACCTGCCATGCTGCTGTTTTTATGACATGAGTTTCAAGGAAAAGTCTTTTTTTGATTTACTATTAGAGCTGGTTAGTGGTTATACTGTCATGCCAGTTTAAGATACCGCATGAATGCTCATTGCGGACTGTACACATGCTGTCTGTGTGCTGTCCCTTGTCATGGTACTGCTAGATTATTGTTAATATTAGGTGGCATCCATTAGATAACCATGCCTTAAAGCTCTACATGTAGCGTGGAGTCTTCCTCCCCATGACAACCAATGGTATTCTTCCTCCCACTGACTGCTCAATTATTGGTAGCCAAATTGTCCCAATTTGAAAGATTCCAGCTCAGAGTTTGTTGGTTGCTAGGCCCATTGGGGCTGCTTACATCATAGCAACCAATAACACACCCCCAGCCTCATTCAGCTGCTTGATGGAAGATTAACCAGCTAAGAACTGAATGTATACAATGGGGCAAAAAATTGTGGCTGATGGCATTAACCAAATTGCCAATTGTAATTGCAAGGGGGACGGATGTGAAGGGGGGGGGGAGCTGAGGACACTGATCTAAAGAGGTGGCAATGATGTGAAAGAGGGGTACTTAGAACACTGATATAAAGAGGGGACTGTGATGTAAAGAGGCTTCGATGTGAAGGGTAGGTTGTAGACACTGATGTACAGGGGGGTCTGTGATGTAAAGTGGGGCTGTGATGTGTTATAGTGCAAACATGAGATTCATACCTCCGCCAGAAGAAAATTTTACTGACTGGACCTCCATGAATTCTAATTCAGGACCCCTGCTTTAAAGAGACACAAGGATGCTATTAGGCAATTATAGCGTGACAAACAGCTTGTTGGTTGATGTTGCCAATATGTTCTGTCATCTTTGAAGCTGGGACCATACCAGCAGAGATCTGAGTCTGAGACTGGGGAAGCCCCCAGGAGCAGCACAGCACTGCCCACACCACAGCACCTGCACCACTGCTGCAGGGAGGCAGGAGCGTCCAATCACCTTATGCTTCCCACTGCTGATCACTGGAGGCTTTTGAGGAAAGACTGAGGGGGCCCCTTCTACAACAAGCATCCTGGGGACTGGTAAGAGGGCTGTTTGCCCATTGTTGATACTACTAGCAGGGACTGATCCACTCAGGGTAGGACTCCAAGCAGGGGCGGACTGACAAACTCATGGGGCCCCCGGGCAATAGGGGATCATGGGGCCCCTGTGTCCTTGCCCAAACTCAAAAAAGCCTATGAAAAAGGTACCAGGGGCATCTCATGGGGCCCCCTACTAACCCTGGGCCCAAATAAACCTGTCTAACCACATGCATTTAAAAAGGGGTTTAGATAGCACACATTTGCAAATAATACATACGAAAGCCACAGAGCCACATCACGGCACCTTGAATTTCTGTGGTCCTAACTCTATAAATCTTGAGAGTCCTCATAATAGAGGCACATGCATTTAATAGATAGACCAAGGGCAGGTGGACCTGAGGGAGCCCATCCTTCGTTAAAGGTACAGGAGTGCACTGACACCCAGCATGTAGAGTTAGGACCACAGAAATTCAAGGTGCCGTGATGTGGCTCTGTGGCTTACGTATGTATTTGCAAATGTGTGCTAACTAAACCCCTGTTTTTAAACGCATGTTGTTAGACAGGGTAATTTGGTTTTTGATAGTTGGTTAACTGGCTGGCAGATTGAACTGGCTTTCCTATC